GTGCATCTTAAAATGTATTCCAGGCTCTGAAACTAGCAGAGGACAAGCCCCAAAGGCATGGCTATTCCTGGTGAGTCTGAGTGATGAGCATAGCACCAGACACAGGGAGCGATGTGCTGAGAAGGGCACGGTCGGTGGAGAGCCCGAGTGACACGGCAAAAGGCTGGGATTGTATTTTTTAGACCATGGTATAGGAGGGTACAGCCAGGGGGCCCCCAAAAGAAGGATTTGTAATGGGGTCCAGATCTCAAGATGTCTAGGAAATATTAGAAAGATATATAGGATGTCCTCACCCTCCAACACAGGTGTGAGTTGGGGGAAGGGACACATGGAGCAGGGCCATTGAGAGATGTTTTGCATAGGAATAGCTTTGCAGCTAACCTCTGGCGTGGTCATTTAACACATCTATAACCTTTAACTGGTTGCATAGATATGTTAAATAGCTGTGGCCATGCTCTGAGCCAGGAGGATGGAAGGAACTTCCCCCCAAGATGTAACTGGGAGGCAACTCTCTCTAGTTACAGCAGCTGCATGAGAGCTTGGAGGTGACTGACTCCACGACATGGGGCCACCCCTGCCCAGACTCATGATGGCAGCCCAGTAGAGGTGGAAGGATATGGGAGTGCTGGCAAGAGTAGCTGATTATGGGAGGAGTTGGAAATGGGGCAGAAGAGGAAGATTGGCTCGGGGATTTAAACCCAGACTGAGCAGCCATTGAAGAGAGAACCATGCAGTTTTAGCTGAGTGGAGACTCCCGCAGCCATTGTGCAGAGAGGACCATGCGGCTGTTGCAGTAGGGAGAGCCACGCACTTTTTGGGAGAGTGGGGACCCCCCACAGCCATGAGAAGAATTACCATGCAGCTTTAGCAGAGAACCACCACGCGACGTTAGCTGGAGATCCCAGCAACACAGCTGATGGTGCTGGGAACCAAGGGCGGTCTACCAGCCGAGCACGGATTACAGGGAAGAACCAGGGGCTGCCTGAGCCAAGGACTTCTTTTCTTTTCCTGAGATATGGTACCCCAGACTGGGCAAAAGGGGGAAGGAAGGACTGTGTGTGTTTGAGGGTGTTGTAAGGGACTTTGGGATTTTGAAGAAGATATTAGGTCACTACTTTAAGTCTGTATAACTTGAATAAATAATTCCTTTTCACCAATCTCTAACATGGAGAGCTATAATTCTCTGACGAAGGGAAAAGTGAACCTAGTACAGAGGGACCCCAGGAGAAATGGGGGTCAATTCAGTAGCATTGTGGGCCCTTCTTCCGTGGTGGTCAATCAGGGAAAATCACGGGAGACCACACGTGCAGTAGCTTTAAAGTAATACAACTGCCCTGGCTGGCGTAGCTCAGTGGGTTGAGTGCGGGCTGCGAACCAAAGCATCGCAGGTTTGATTCCCAGTCAGGGCACATGCCTGGGTTGCAGGCCATGGCCCCCAGCAATCATGCATTGATGTTTCTCTCTCTCTCTCTCTCTCTCTCTCTCTCTAAAAATAAATAAATAAAGTCTTTAAAAAAAGTTCACATTTAAAAAAAAATAAAGTAATACAATTACTTGTACATGCTCAGTAAAAACCCACCAAAACTAGCCAGGAAGGATCTGCCCTATAAGAATAGAGTCCCTCCAGCCCATGAGGTCAATCTCTGCTTGGAGTTGGCCTGCTCCCATGTTCTCTGCTATAAACTCTGGGTGTTCGGTTCAATTCTTTGTCCCGATCACTAAGAACCTGGTTACCTGTGCTCACCTGTGACAATGGGAAGTCACTGAAAAGTTCTGAGGATGAAAATGAGTACTCTCTGACCTATATTTTATGAACACTGAGAAAAACTATTTCTACATAAAAACAGCAAACAAAAAAAATGGCATTGCTTTTCACAGGACTACATATTCTACTGTGTTAAGAGGAAAAAAGAAGGATGAGGTCCCGTCTTTAAATGCAAGGGAAACAGGGGCCCACAGTTTGTGACCCTGTGTCTCAGAGGGATAGGCTGAGTGCAGTGTTTTGGTTTTCAAAGGCCCTGAACAGCCACCTAACATTTCCAAATGGTTTCAAAGTAAAGGGTACCACCCTTAATGATAAAACAGACACCTAGATTCCAAGATGGGACCTGGGTCCTAGACCAGAAGATTACTCCAAGCAAGCACTTCATATCCCAGCACAATTAAATAGGCCCGTACTATTGAATAGATGGATGATATTATGTAAACTAAAATTAAAATGAATACCTGCATATTATATTAAAGTTAAACAAAGTGAGCATATAAATGATTCTCACTTTATATGCAGTGCATAGGTGCAGTGCATGGGTCCCCTGATAACAGGGGAACACCCCCACAATCCTGATTACAGGTAGGATTAGTTGCAGGGAAGAGAGGAAGGCACAGCATTTAAGATACATTGTATAACAAAGGCAAATTAACAGCTATGTCTTCCTGAAGGGAAGAAGGCTGCTGCCCAAGAAAAATCGTGTATGTGACTGTGAGAACGTGCAGTGACTCATGACACAGCCAGGGGTGGATGCCCTCCCTGGATGCCTGTGCATCACTGGGAACTCTTGCCCTGACTAAAGATGGCAGCTGAAAGAGGGTGAAAGACACTGTGACAGGCACTAACACACCATAGGAAAGATCACAAAGGAAGTTCTGAGCCAAGCATTTAAGTTAGGATGGGCATAGGTCAGAAAGTCAGAGTCAGACCTGCAGTTAGAGGAGGTTTGCTGAGAGATCTGCAAAGAAATCTGCAGAGAGGTCTGCAGTGAGTCAGCCATGAGGTCTGTCTGCCTGGATAGCTGTTTGCAGAAGACGGCAACAGAGCTCACAGAGCTGTGGGGGCCTGCCTGGCCAAGTACAGATGCAAGAGATGTTTGGAGCTGAACTGTGACTGGGAGTGCTGAGCTGCAGACTCCTGCTTCTCTGAAGGACGTATGGAGAAGTTGCTCTCTTGATATAGCGACTCTAGGCATGGGACTTTAGAGCTTGGTGTAAGCTCCCTCCCTCTGGGTTTCTGGCATTTGGACATTCTGGGCCTCCGGCCCTGCTTTCTGTGTGGATGGGAGTGCTCATGGGACCCGGAGAAGCAGGGCCCACCAGGGACTCAGACCCCACAGAGCATGGAAGCCCACTCTCGGAGGCAAGGTCCCAGGGACATGTGCTTCCCTGGGCTCCAGCATCTGGGACAGTGTAACATGGCACATGGTTTCCTGAACTGCTACATGAAGGCTGAGAGCAGTGCACCCCAGATCCTGAAGGAGAGAGCTGCTGCAAGAAGATGGTGACTCTGAAACCCACAAGTGCGCATTCTGGAGAGGATGGAGATCTGTTTTCGTGACCGCTGATGGACAGATAAGGAAATGGGGAACTTCTGGGTATGGTCTTGGCATATAGCTTTTTGGGGAGCAAGGGAAGTTCTGGGTCTCATGGGAAAGGAAGACTCTGAGCAGAAGTTCTCTCAGCACCCCCCAAGGTTGGAAGCCTGTTAATAAAAAACTGCTTTCCTTTAACACAAACCATTGAATCATGTAAGCTCAAGGCACCACGTGGCCAAGCCCCAGTTTGCACAGTTACAATTCAACTCTAACTGTAACAGGCAGTTGCTAAAACTACTGCAAAGAATTAAACACATACAACAAAACATGCCTTCCAAAGTAACAAACACTGGTCTGAGGGGGTTTTAAAATATGGCTTATTTCAAGACACTTACTTTAATAAGCACAGCTCTCCTCAGCTTACACAAGGGAGTCACCGGCTTACTCTTACTTCCAGAGGGACTGGAAGGAGGGAGAGGCCCAGGAGCCTGCAACAGCCCTGGTGTTGCCCTAACTGGCTTTTTTTTTTTAACTCAAGCAAGATGAGCTTCAGCTCACCTGTAACATAAGGAATCTAGAGACATGGTCAAAGGCCCCTCTCAGGTTGAAACCCTCTCAGGTTGAAACTCCTATGACAATAAAGAAATTCCTTATAGGCCTGTCTGCTTTCCATGAATCAGAGTACTGACTTGAGCTAAAGGAGAGCGTGCCATTGAGCCACGTGTTTGTGAGGAGTGCTGAGAGAGGGCCCCTGGGCAATGCAGCGGGCCGCAGGTCTGAATCAGCCCCATGGTCGGAGCGTGCATTAGAGATCAGAAAGACCTCGACTTATACCAGAGCTCCAACCTCGAAACTGCGGGCAAGCAAAGCGATATAAATTCTTTCTCTGTGAAATGGGGATAGAGTCCTCAGAATTAAGAGATGGAAGTGAGGTGCTTACCACAGTGCTTGGCATATAGTAACTAATAAATAAATGATAGCTCTAAAAGATGCTGTCTATTTTATCTCATTTAGCTATTAGATTTACCTTCATTGTTTTACATATTTTCCTTATAGAAATATAAACTTATGGAAACTCACAAAACTGGAAAGGTCCCCAAAGACCTTTCTTTCAGTTCCCCATTTCAAGATATTTTTATCACCATTTCACTGATGAAACCATCAAGCTTACCTAAGTAAGGTAAGCTGCTTGCCCAAGGTCACCCAGCCATGAAGTCCACTGAAACATTATTGTTGGTGTCCTCAGAGGTCCCCCATCCTTGGGATTTGTGAACATAATTTCCTGGGCTATGTTATGCCCAAAGAATCAAAGCTGTTGCTGTTATTACAATAAACTTACAACATGAGAAGAAAAGGCCTCAGCCAAAGGGAGACTGTGCACTGAGTAATCAAAGGCCAGCTCTCAAACATCAGTTATGGAAATAATAGTGAGTCTTGTAAAAATTCTTAGTAATGCTTACTATGCTGTTTAGCAAAAAAGAAAAAAAAAAGAAATCAAAGTATGTAATCTTATTATTTTGTGATTGTAAGTAAAATTATGTTCACCTACAGCCAGAGCTGGAAAGGAACCTGGAAAACGACTATGGCTGATCTGATTGCAAACGGGTTTCTTTTATCCAGTGACTTTAATGGAGTGACACAATACACATCACAACAGTGATGATCACAGTGCAGGAGAAGATGCTGTTCACTCACCCTGGATTGTATAACATGACAGCGGAGAGGTTCTCACAGGACTTCGAGAGGTCAGTCATGGACAAGCTGAAGGAGGACAGAAGGCCACTCTAGGAGCAGACACAGGGCAACACAGTTACCTCAGCAGGTAGATGCCAGCTGTGAACTCAATGCTTTCAACAAGCGAGAGAGAGTGAAGTGCAGACGCTTCTCATGCATACCAAGTGGTCTTTCCAAGGATAGCAAATCAGGGGCAGTCTCAACCGCAAGCCCTCAGCTAAAAACAGGAGGGCCCTAGCATGCTTGAACTGGGAAAACCAACCTGCAACTCCACACCCTGAGGGTCTCCCTGACCATGCTGCATTCAAGTTGAGGGAAGGGGTCCTGACATCTCTGACACCCTCATTCCCTAGCAGGACCACTGTCCTGTCATCAGCCATGTTCAGGTACACTTACTGAGTAATGGAGATGGAGCAGGGAGAGGGAAGGGAGACCAAAAAATAAGAGTTGACCTGTTTTGCTTTCATGGGAAGCTATTAGCAAACATTTCCTGCAACTGCGTATCAAAATGGACCCTCGAGGGAGACCTTGGCTGGACACAGATAAGTGGCTTCACTGGCCTGAAGGAGAAGGCTGAGGTTTTCAGCTTTCTTGTTTCCCATCTACAGTACTGGCAACCTCAGGCAGTCCTTACAACTACACTAAGATGCGGGGCTATGTAGCTCAGAGGTGAAGGGCAAACACATCCAGGTTGGCAGGTCAGGGCTATCACCCTGACACCCCACTCACTGGCTAGGGAACCAGTTTGTCTCAGATTCTCATCTCAATTACCTGTGAAATGGAGCTAGTAACAGCTGCTGCACAGATAAAGTAGAAAATATGTGGAAGTTCCCTGCAGTGCCTGGATCACAGAAACACTACCTGCAGTCTTCATTATCTTCCTCAGTCTAAGGACAGCACAATGTCCCTAGACAGATCTCTCTCCCTCTCATTTCTTCCCCTGTCTCTCTGGTCCTCCACCCACCTCTCCCAACCAGTGCCTTCTGGATATCCCTACCCAACCAAGATTAAGTCTCTCCCAATTGTCCTAAGCTCACTCTTTGTTTCACACCCCAAGAAACAACCAAATAAACAAATAAAAAGTGAGCAAACTTTTGATCAAAAATGATTCTGATACTGGGTAAACTCCTAAAAGATTCTTGTAAGTGGAAGTAACTCTCCACTTAATGCACATGACACCCAACTCCTGTGAGGGCAAAAAGTTGAAGCTAGTCTCCTTCTGCTCTGAACTTTACTTGCTTACCTTCCCACTTCATTGGCCAATAATCTGCTATGAAACAAACTCCCCACAATCAATCCTGGCTACAGAACTTTTGTGGTTCTATACTCCAGAAAATCAAACTTTTGGCCCAAAGTGGAGATCCCCCTGGCCACAGCCCCACCCAGATCAAAGCTGCCTCCTGGCGACTGCATGCAGCTCACCTTCCTCTTCTCCCTGAGCTTGGCAGCCTCCTTTGGGTGGTTAAAACGAAACATATTGGTTCTTCCTAAGAGTATCACAGCACCTAAGAGCACATAAAAACAGTAATGAGTTTACAGTATGCAACCTGGTCAGTTGGTAACATCATAACATGGAATTTTATAGTTGAAATGCAATTTCCAGTGTACTATAAAACAGTAATAATAAGGGAAAGGTTTAGTCCCAAAAGTCTGCTTTCATAAGCCACTTTTAAATGTGCAAATACTTTTATTTTAATAGTCAAGTATCACAATGCTCATGTTACCCAAGGTAGAAGTAATGGATCCAAGCATTAAAATACGACATTTAAAACTTAGTATGTAGATAATTATATTTTTGATTGCTGAGAAAAAAAGGAAATTACTTCAACATATCTAATACCAAGCAAAACACATGGTCACAAATATAGGAAATATTTATTAATGCCAGTAAAAGCAAGAATCTAAAAAGAAAGTGTTTTCAAACGAAAACATGGTAAAATTGACAAAGTACTGGCAACTATTATTAAAATCTCCCTCAGAATTTGACAGAAAAGAAATTGTGTACATGTAGTGTCTATTTCCATGTAAAAACACTCCTTCTTGTTAAATCCTGTTAAAATTGAGATGTTCAAATTAGACACAAGAAAACCCCTTTTGGATGGTCGGGGTCCTGCTTATTCAGAAAATGACTGCACAAGGGGTAAAAGAAGTCAACATAAATGCCCAAGAGTAACAAAATAACTGCACCTGGGCAGCAAATGTCAAAGTGATTAACCAAACACTTTCAAAGGTTGGAGCTGTCCAAAGCTGGCACAGGTGCCAGGGAAGACAGTGAGCGACCTGTCACTGGAGGCATCTAAGGGAAATGATGTTCCAGAAGAGATTCACTATCTTATCTGGCCCTGTCAACACCTGAGAGTCTACCACACCTCAGAATGACCCCCATGTTCAATCTTTGCCCCGAAAAAAATGCAACTGATTTGTGAAGATAAGACACACCCACGAGAAGTCAACTGTGAAGGACATCATGTGATGAGGTGTCGAGCCATCTATGTGACAAGTCCAGGCTGCAGTAGGTGGAGCAGACTTTCGCACACAGGAACTAATGATCTGGGTCTCCCTGGAGGACTAGAGGGCAAAAAGAGGTGTTCCAATTTGGGGGTAACCACAGGGAAGGGCTAAGATTTAGAAGAACAGGCCTGCTATGTCTGGAGAGGGAAGGGAGCAAAGCCCACCCAAAATGCTGGACACTGGTAACAGCGGCAAGAATCCATATTAGATAGATGACAGAGAAATGGCCTGTGAGGATCTGGAGAGTCAGGATGAAGAGTCTGCACCAAAGGTCAGAAATGGGTGGCCAGAACAACGATGCAGCTCACAGATGTGTTTTATGTTTTATGTGCAATGTTTAAATAAATTATTTGTTGGCAGCAGTTACAAACCCACAGTTTTCACATAAAATTATGAATTTCTTTCTGGATCCCCTTCAAAAATTGGAAGACACAGTATCAGTAGATCTGTGATGCCCCTTGGCAAAACTCCCCGAGCTGGATGGCTGCTTCCTTGGACAGAGCGTGCTCTCTCTGGTGGAGCACAGTTGCCCACCTCTCGCCTGGAGGTGAGAGCACACCCCCAGGTAGCATCCTGGAGTTTCACACCAGTACATCCACCTGCCCTTCTACATACCTCTGATTCTCAAAGATGTTTCAAATTCAATGTGGTAAAAGTCTAACAGGCTTGGATACTAACCAAGGGACAAGTGAAGGGCGGCAGCTATCATTTAGTGTAAACGGAGTGAACACACATGGGGAAGCACAGTTTTAGGAGACTCAGAAGGGCAGCAGTGGATATTGTCCACTCTACAGTCTGCTTATTCCCTCATATAAAATTGCATTCATACAGTTTCAAATTATGGAAAAGCACCATTATCATAATCAAGAAAGGTATTTCCTGTGCCTTTTATGACTGGAACTCAGAACCATGTGCTACACAGAGAATCAAAAGCAAGCAGCCATGTCTAGCATATAAGGGTATAAATATTTAATACTTGTCTTAAGTGACACTTTATAATACTGTCTTAAAGTAACCTTAGAGATTAATAAGGCAATGGCATTTGAGGTGTTAATTACTTCTAATCCAATTCTTTGTTTTCCTTAAATCAAATGCCTACCCATGCAAGCTGAAAATTGCTAAAATATGTTAATGGAAAAAATAGAATAGTTTTTCACACACATATTTCATACCACATTAAATCACTGAAAATAATATTGCCACCCGGGTCATTCATTTAAAATGCCTTTAAGGAAGTATAAAAGAAAACAAAACTACCCATGACCATTCCTGTGTCCATCTAAACTACTTGGCACATAAGTCAGTCTGTTAAGTCAGGTTTTCTTCTATTTCCTCTACTGTATCCCTTTACTCAACAAACCTACTGACTTTACAAATTTGCTTCATTTGGACATGATGCTGCTGTTCATTCATTCATTCATTCAACAAAGACTTAACGAGCACTTACAATATGCTAGTCATTGTGATAAGCACTGGGATACAGAGTTGAACAAGTCAGACATCTGCCTTGTCCTTATGAAGCTTATAAACATGTAGGAGAGAGAAGTAAATAACCAAATAATTTCACAAGTAAATGCAAAGCTGCAACTGAAGGAGAGCTACCCTGCCCACTGTTCAAGAGTGCATTAGAAGGGGGTTGATTGCAGGAGAGGTTAGGAAAGGATGCCCTTAGGGAGCTGGTGCTTAACACAAGCTCTGAATGTCAGCAGTGGGTGGAGGAATGAAAAGATGGTGATGATGATGATGATGATAATGTGTGATTGGAAGACAGCTGTATGTCCAGTAGAGGGAACAAGGGAGAGCACCGAACAACATAAGGCTTGAGAGAGATGGAGTAGAAGACAGAGAATCTTTCAGGATACAGCAAAGCATCCTGCCATGCAATAGGTGCAATGGGAAGACACCGAAGGGCTCTGTGCAGCAGCATTACGTGATTAGGTATGAGTTTCAGAAAGATCATTCTTTCCACTGGTTGAAGAATTAATCAAACACAGCACAAGCAGATGCGGATGAACAAGGTAGGAGGCCACTATAATAGTGCAGGTCAAAGATGATGGTGGCTCAGAACTGGAGAGGAGGGATGCAGAAGGGAGCTAAACAAATTAGGAAGACATTATGAAATACAGATCAACAGGACTAATGATGGGCTAGATGCAGCAACAAGGAGTTAAGGGAGGCTCATGGGGTTTGGCCTGTCATAATTAGTTGGGTGGTAAGTTGTCCACACAGACTGAGAACACTAGAAAAGAGCTAAGATTGGGTTAAAGGAGACATCGTGACTTTGGTTTTAGACATAATGAATTTGAGAAGCCTTTGGCAGGCAGAAATGTAGGTCTGAAGCTCCAGAAGAGATGCCTAGGATACCTATCTATCTATCTATCTATCTACCAACCTCCCTACCAGCTTACTCTCAATCTATCTACCAACCTACTTACCACCTACCTACATATGTACATATAACACACACATATATATGTATACATATCTATATATCTATATCTATATCTATATATATATCACTCTTTATATATTTGAGACTCATCTCTAATTAATGAAGCCATGGGTGTGAAGAAGTCACTTTGAAAGCTGACTTTTAATGGCCAACTAGAGGAGGATGATTCTTCAAAGGAAACAGAGAAAGGGCTATCAGAAAGGGAGAAGGAAAACCTCAAAGTGAAGGGAAGGAGTGGTCAAGGATACAGAATGCTTCAGAGAGGTCAGTCAAGATACAAGAATTGAAAACAGGCATCAGGTGTGGTGGCATGGAGGTCATGCGTGGCCTCAGAGAGAGCATTCTGAGCGTGGTCAGAAGCCAAATTGAAGGGGATGAAGAGTAACTGAGAGCTAAGTATCTGAGTGCAGACAGACAACTCGTTCAAGAAATTTATGTATAAAGAAAAAGAGCTGATAGCTGGACAGGGATAGTTCTCTGTGTTTTTGGTAAAAGGAGACTCATGAGTATATTTTAAAAAGAAATATGAGAGCTGAAGGAAAATAAATGAATGAATGAATGAGAATGACTGACAGTGTAAAGTTTCTGCGTGACCAAGAGCGTGAGTCCTGCCTGAACTCTTGCCAAGGACAGGTCACTGCTTAACCCCTGCAGAATTCAGTCTCCTCATTTAGTCATCAAAATGGATAAGGTTCCTTCAAGATCTGAAATTCTCTTTAACTCTGAACTTGATCTGAGGTTGATGTGACTAATCACAGCACATGGACTTTTTGTGAGGCACTTAATTTGTAACTTTTAGAATGTTTAAACCTTCTTGAAATTTATGATGGCATCTTTGAGATTACTTCAGGACCTGTTAAATACCAGAAAATAGACAAATTCCAGATGGTCTCAAAAGGGGAAATGACACTGTAAAAGGGTAGACAAAGACACTTGTTAACAACAACAAAAAAAGCTTCATTTAAATCTCAGTGAACGAAACTGCTGAAGGCTGGTTTCACATGAGATTTTCTATTTTACTATTTCAGGTACACTGAAAAATATTAAACATATCTAGAGATTTTTAAGATGTAGATTGATAATAATCATCAATATCACTATTAATTACTTTTTCAAAATTTATGTGAGATTCTAATTCTGCTACTACACAAATCTTTTTTTCTATTATAAATACCATGTGAATATTTCTGAGGTGATGATGTATGAATATTTCATTCTGAGTTACAATTAATACAAACATAAAAGACAACTGTATTCTCAAAAGTGCATGGTCCCATATAGTGTGACTGTAGAGGCCAAAAAATGGGGCCCTTTGATATTGTGCTTCAGTGCTCCACATTCTGAATTTCTTTTTTTTTTTAAGATTTTATTTATTCACTTTTAGAGAGGGTAAGGGAGGGAGAAAGAGAGGGACAGAAACATGGGTGTGTGATTGCCTCTCACACACCCCCTACTGGGGACCTGGCCTACAACCCAGGCATGTGCCCTAGACTGGGAATTGAACTGGCGATGCTTTGATTCACAGGCTGGCACTCAATGCAC